AAAGAGGGAAATCATATAACTCGGCCAATAAAAGAGGGAAATCATATAACTCAGCCAATAAAAGAGGGAAAACACCATGATTTTTTGTAAGTACATCATCATTAACATGTTCTTTATAAATAAATCTACGACTGTTTTTCCTTTCACTCCTTAGGATGAGACACTGCTATGAAAGTAACTTGGCTGACCGTTCCTTTATGCTTTTATTTCAAACTATGCTCTGCTCGACATTTCGTAGTAAACCAAGTTACCTCCATGGCTAATTAAATTATCTTCTGGTTATGGCATTTGCAAATAGATTTATGGGGTTTAGACAGTGTAGACTGTATTTAGAACCTGAAAATATTATTGCAATACAATCAAACATTTCTTCGAGTCATACCTTGAACCCGTCTTTCCTGACAGCAAACATGACCTCAATCATGTACTGCACACGTTTTTCTATCATGCCCTCATGTAAGATGTTCCGCAGTCTCTCAAATATAGCTGGAAATCAAAATATAATTGACATGAAAATATTTTTAGTTTTTGCTTTCCTAAGTATTAGATGTTCTAAATTAAGTCCGGTAAAATAAATGCTTCAGACTAGTTCTGTATTTAAACCTTCTACTGGTATCCAAATATCCAAAAATATTCACGAAAAAAGGGAAATACAGCCACTAGAGACATACCTGTGAAGTTTCATTAAGACCTATCAAGAATGTTACAGTATTTACAAAGAAGCAATTATGATTTTTTTAAGTAGCAGTGATCTTATTGACTTTGACCAATGTGTTATTAAAACAATTAAATATTAATCTCATTAACTATTTCTGGAAAAACTACACAATGTCAGTTTGGTCAAACAGTATGTACAGCACTGTAACCAAACAGTCATGGACAACTGACCGTTGATTCCCCGGGGCGACACCTCAGTCAGCTTCTGACCAGACTCCTTCAGGAAACCAATGGACACCTCTACCGAGTCATCTGTAGGATTCTCCAGTAATAGGGTCAATATTTCCAGAGCTATAACCTCGTGTGCCTGGTCAAACAATCATGTACAAAAGTCAAAACTACATAATTTAATGGATGTACTGTATTACGAGATTTTTTTGCCGTTTTTAGCCCTCTGTAATGAGGGAGAATTTGTTGAGAATTTGTAATTAGAGCGAATATTAGTCATCAACATAAATACACAGTAATTCAATGGGAAAATGCAAAATTAGCACGGGATTTTATCACCAAAGGGCGAAAGTCTCCAGTTATATGGTATCAAATAGAAGTTTAACTTTGCTGTGTCAAACATTACAGTTTAACTATTGACTATACAACTATGGGTGGGGTCAAATTTCAGATTTTCTTATTTGAGGTCAAATTCCGATTTTCTTATATGAGGTCAAATGTCAGATTTTCTTATATGATGTTACACGGCAGATTTTCTTATATGATGTTAAATGTCGGATTTTCTTATATGAGGTCAAATGTCAGATTCTCTTAATAAGGTTAAATGTTCTTGTGTGAAAGTACACATTTCTAGCTAAGAGTGTAACTGAAAAAATATCTATTTCAAAGAGAAATTCTCATGGCAGTGGTGTTGGGTTTTTAGGTTACATAATGTATGTAGTTTAGCAGTGTTTAATGTACAGAGCTTTATTTCTGAACCATTATTTTCAGCGGGGTATTGTCCCTTTGACACACGTATAAACTTGTACTTACAACTTGCTGGTTCACTAGGTGGGCTAGGAAGCGTGTTGTGGATAGACACAAGGCTTTGTCATTACGTTTAAATCCTCGACGGAACTGAATCACCAGACGACGCATCATCAGCTCACCAATTTGTGGAAACTGAAGAGAAAAGTATACAGTAGGTTTATTTAAAAATATTTGGAATTGATAATAAACAGAGATATGCTGTATATATATAAAAGTGCAAGAAGAATGATACATTTATTTAAGGATTGAATCCTGTTGTGTTGTTTATAAGGTATAGGGTCAACCTCAATGGGTCTTGAAAATAAGACAAATATAACTGCACATATTGAATTTGTCTCCAGACCCATTTTAAGTTTATACTCCATAAACCTAAACAAAACAGGATTCATTCAATCCTTATATTTACATTCAGTGCCATTTGGATAATTTTTTGATAATTTCTAAAATAACAGATTTGTGCAAGTCTACTTTCTTTGAAGGTGCCAACACAGGTCATGCCATCACTCACTGTTTTGCATTAGATTCAGTGATAACATATAGATACTTGTTTATTTCAATCAGAGATATCTGTGTAAAAAAAATGTGTGAAAACAACCAATAAATGAGCCTATTCCCTGCACATAGGCCAACTGGAAAGTTTATAGAAAAATATTCTTTATATTTTTTAGTTGGGATATTGCGTCCATGATGAGTAGAAATTAAGACATATACAACTGACCTTTGTGTTGATGACAGAGACTAGACCAGCATACACGTGAGTGAAGGTAGGCGAGGCTGCCTGGGCCTGGATCACTGAACGACACAGCAAGCCCCTGAAACAAAACATCTCTCATTATTTCAAAGTACTGCAGGTGCTTACAAAGCGGTATTTAACTCATTCACCCCTGAAGTTTCATAATGAACTATTCCAACCTTTAAAATTGGAAAAGTTTAAGTGTGTCTTCAGGGGTGAGTGAGTTAATATTTTTTTAAGCAAAATTCTATTGCTTAGTTAATAATTTTGATAAGAACACATCTGCAAAGAAAACTTTACTACAGAACAATATTTCTCTCATTTCCGTGTGTGTAAAATAGAGCTGTCCAGTGTAAGAAAGGGGTGTAGGAAATTTCTATCTTACACCCCATTTCACGAGACCCGGGCCCACTTGTATAAAACATCTCAAAGTTAAGGGAAATCTCAAGCAATGTATTGTCTATGGGAAATCTTAGACTTGAGGAAATCTCAAGAGTTGAGATGTTTTATACAAGTGGGCCCTGACGTCACAATTGCTCAACAATGACGTTACCACACAAATTTGGGAAACACTGATGCCGCAATGCGGAAAAGGCAACGAGATGAAATTAAACCCTCTAGGATATATGCGGAAAAGGCAACGAGATGAAATTAAACCTTCTAGGATATATTAACGGTACACGTTAGAAAGATCAGATTACTTTTTCTGCAAATATGGGGTATGCTTAATCTCGCTTATTAATTCGTTTTCGTCAAAAAACCTCAGGGGAAAAAATGATATTTTAAAAATGGTAGCCAGTCCAAACACATTTTAATGGTTTCTGAGCTTATTCTGGTAGTACTCTTACATGCCCAAGGGTGTGGGATACGGAAATTTTACCCTCAGGATTTTCAAATTTGGCAAAACCCTCGGCTTACCACCCCTGGACGTGAAAGAGTCTTATAATCTTGTCATTCAATCAAATTTTCCTATGCCTTATTTAGAATCCAAAACAATTTCAAACTTTATCAACTCATTCACCCCTGAAATTTCATAATGAACTTTTCCAACCTCTGAATTCGAAGAGTTCAAATGTGTCTTCAGGGGTGAATGAGTTAAGCAATCATGGCAAAATAAAGTTTAAGACACTGACCTTCCTCTGACGATGTTTTCCTGAAACAACTCCTTGACGATATCCACCAGGTTGGATACGTTTACTTTGTTCACAAGACCATTGATGCTTTTTTTCAGCGCCTCCCACGCTATCCTCTGGAACTCCACACTGTAACAAGATAGTATTATAAAACACTTTAAAATGATATACCTGCTTATTACCTTCTACAGTGTAATTGTCTTGTGCAGTCACAAGATCAGCATTAAAGCACAATTTGTTGACTGCTTTACCAATTACCACAAACTCTATTCCCTTCTTACAATTACAACATTTTGTTTCCACGTTTTCAATTCTTTTCAAATGATACACATAATTTTTAATCACATTCTATATATATTTATCAACTCACTTTTTTGAAGCAAATGAAATATAATTTTGGGTTTTAAGTAATTAAAATATGTTTTTGGCATCTATCTTTTTGAAAAGATTTGAATACAGAAAACAATTTCATCTGTGTCTTACTTCGAAGTTTGTAACAAATATGTATATTAATTTCTATGGTTGAAGACATAGTTTCTGATCGCAATTCAAAACGGAAATAATTGAGTGAAGTCAAATTTAGCAAAGTCGAAGCAACAACTGACAACACAGTTACCCTAAAGTTGACTCACACTGTATAACAAGTCACTCAATAAAAGCGATATTAAATGTAGCTATAGAAGAACACTCTAACTGAAAGATGGATAACTGATAAAAAATACAGGGGCCTCTTCTTTGTGGAACAAATGGTTTATCTGTTTTTAAATGCAACATTTCAGGTATTAATACTTGTTAGGCTTGCATGAAAGCAGTATCAGATTACTAGGTTCGACCTTATTTCATAAACGAACAACTCTGGTCCTACCGGTTCAACTGTTTGGACCGTGATAACGAAAATGTCCCAAGTGTTTCCATGGTGTTACCTTGTTTTATCGGTTATTCCAGCCTGCATCATTCGGAGACGAGCCGGAGGAATGTAGGCACCACCAGTCCTTGTTGTTAGAGCTGAAGCTTTATTTGCAGCAGGTTTAGCGGCCTTCTCTCCATCCTTTTTGTCGTCCGGTTTTCCTTCCTCACTTTATAATAAGATCAATGATGACAAATTAAAACATATACCAGCCATCAACCAAAAGTCAGTATTACAGAGGGGTTTAACAATTGAGATTTAAGATTTTGTGGAATAAATTAATGATCCTGAATTATCCTACAAACAAACAAAAATCTTAAAAGTTCCTTACCTCCCTTTCTTGTCACTTGTTGACATTTTATCCGTGTCCCTACTACCATCTCTCCGTTTGTCATCATCTCTCCGCCTGTCATCATTTCTTCGTCTGTCATCATCCCTTCTTCTATCATCGTTTCGCCTGCGTACATCATTGCGTTCATCATCCCTGTACCGATCATTACGATCACGTCCTCGTCTGTCATCAACCCCTCTGCGATCATCTCTTCGTCTGTCATCTCTGTAACGCTCCCTGTAGTCGTCTCGGCGTCTATCGTCTCGGCGGAACCTGCGGTCCTCCTCACTGCTGCTGCGACGACCACCTCGTCTCCTCTTTCGGTCTTGACTACTGTCACTATTGTACTCTCCATCCTCTCTGTCAAAAACATGAACATCACTTAACAACAAATACAGTCTAATCATCCTTAGGAAGTACAAAATGGGGAATTCTTTATGCAGGTGGTCTCTTATCAACAAGTTTCAATTGTCCATGAAACCATTACAGTAACTGTAGATTCTCACTCAGATATAGATGGTCTTTTAATGCAGTTGCATTATTATTTTGACCAAAGAGTTATAAGTCAGACTAAAGGCCCATGGGCCTTAACGGTCACCTGATATATTTATACAGAGAGTTGATTTTGTTTTTAACATGAACAGAAATATTATTCAAAGTGACAAAAAACAATAAAACCACCTTACTCAATATCTAGCATACAGATTTCAGACTAAAAAGGATTTGAAACTAGCACCTCTGATTCTTAACAAGGAAAATGAAGAAATTTTAGCACACTGACTCCTTTGAGCCCCACCCTACAGCCCTTGGGGGTAGGGCTGGCTCAAAATTTTCAAAGTATCAAACTGTCAATTCAAGGTTATAATTCCAATCAAGTTATTA